TTTTGGTTCCTCTCAGTGTTTTATCTCTTGTTTTTCTGGAAACCTGTCCTGGGACAAGGCCTGAAAAAGCCATACAAATAAATTGAACTGAAAATTAATTGAATTGAATCAAATTAACTGACTGTACAGACAGGGGGCACTTGACACTTCTGCTAGCAGGTCAGGTCACCTTGTCTGTCTCTGAAGAGCTCTAAAAAGCCAAAGTGTGTGCACTTACAGCTGGAACATCTCAGGACAAACACAAATGAAACCTAAACCAAATACAGAGACGTTCAAATGGGGACTGAAGTGCTCAAAGACACACAATGGGCCTTGAGAAGAACTTCTAGAAGTGCAGGTTCTAGACTTTCAGTCCAGACCACATCCTGTGAACATGGAAGAGGAGCTATTTATATGTATTCACTGCTGCTACATCACTGATGTGTTGCTGATATTACTGAAAGTCTATTAAGTGTTTATTTCATCTGAAAAGGAAACACTCAAAATAAAGTGTCATCGATATTTGATTATGATGTGAATTTACATTTTTGCTGTTTTTGTCATTTTTCTGATGTGCAGCTCCAAACATGTCTGTACAGAAGTGAAATTAAACATGAACATAATTTTTTACATAATGTTGTGATTAAATTTGTGATTACATTTAAATATTACAGGAATAGCAGTAATATCTAAAGAAACATCCACGACTGAAACATTTACCCTGTTCTTCAGTGGTCAGGACCCCCATGGACCCCCATAGAACAGGTACTATTTGGGTGGTGGATCATTCTCAGCACTGCAGTAACACTGACATGGTGGTGGTGTGTTAGTGTGTGTTGTGCTGGTACAAGTGGATCAGACACAGCAGTGCTGCTGGAGTTGGAGTGTCCACTCACTGTCCACTCTATTAGACACTCCTACCTTGTCAGTCCACCCTGTAGATGTAAAGTCAGAGACGATAGCTCATCTGCTGCTGCACAGTTTGTGTTGGTCATCCTTCATCAGTGGTCACAGGACGCTGTTGGCTGGATATTTTTGGTTGGTGGACTATTCTCAGTCCAGCAGTGACACTGAGGTGTTTAAAAACTCCAGCAGCATTGCTGTGTCTGATCCACTCAGACCAGCGCAACACACACTAACACACCACCACCATGTCAGTGTTACTGCAGTGCTAAGAATGACCCACCATCCAAATAGTACCTGCTCTGTGAGGGTCCATGGGGGTCCTGACCACTGAAGAACAGGGTAAAAGGGGGCTAACAAAGTATCAGAGAAACAGATGGACTACAGTCTGTAACTGTAGAACTACAAAGTGCACGTATATAGTAAGTGGAGCTGATAAAATGGACAATGAGCGTAGAAACAAGGAGGTGGTCATAATGTTATGCCTGACCGGTGTAAATCATGCAAAGGGTTCTTCGAGTGCTCATGGTTCTATAAAAAACATTTTCTTTACTAAAGAACCCTTGAAGAACCATCATTTTTAAGTGTGTACTGACCAAACTATGCCAACAAATGTGGAAAACAGCTCAATGGCCAGCAGACTGGAAGAGGTCAGTTTACATACCAATACCAGAGAACGGAGACAAGAAAGAGTGCACAAACTATCACACAATTTCCTTAACATCACATCCCAGTAGAATTATGCTCAAGTTCATACAATGCAGACTAGAGCCTTACATCTAAAGAGAAATGTACCAGTGTAAAGTTCAACAAGCAGGTAAAAAAGGCCTAAATCTGATTTTCTCACCAAATCCGATTCGATTGTTTGGCTGTTCACAATATCTTTTAAATGTGATCTGTATGAGACGTCAGTCTGAACAGGTCAGCTCCTAAACTGACCCACATGCGCTAAAGAACAGAGCTTCACGTGGCTCATCCAGATGTAAACGATCAAAATGGAGTCAGCAGCATCAGCCGCTCCCGAAGGTTCAGCTTCATCTTCACAGCATCCCAGGAGCTGATAGGAAGTTCTGATGACCGGCAGCTGGACTCATCACCCAGAATGCGCTCGAGCTCGCTGTGAAAAGGCCACGTTATTCAGCCACGGCCGCTTCTTTGGTTCACGTCCTCGCTTTCCTTAAACTTTGCTTTCAGACTTGTAGCTTTTCTTTGGCGCTGCAGTCTCGTTCTCCTCCGGTAGCGTTCGGCCATTTCTCTCGAAATCTCTTTAAACACGGAGCGGTTATAATATGACCATTGGGCTGTTTTCCAGATTTGTTGGCATAGTTCGGTTAGAACTGATGAATCTTTTCCAGAATCTTAGGATGTTTCTGCAGTGTTATCGATGCCTGTGGCGTTCTTCTTTGGCGATGGTCTCAGGGCCTGTCTGACTTCATCTTCTAGCACTAAAGGTTCTTCTGGGTAGTCAACATCAGTGTAAGTGTCTTGGCAATTGACATCTTTTTTGTAGCGGTCATCGGTTTATTCCTTCCATCTTTGTTTATTTTTGTTTCATCTGTTAGAATTTGCCCATCTCTCAGATTAACGACTCACTGAAATTTGTTTTTGATCTCCCAAATCATAAACAGCAATCCTTGTTTTTCCGTTTGTTCCCCTTTCTAGTGGTGGGATAGGCTCCAGTCCCACCGCCAACAACACAGGAGGATAAGCAGCTTAGAAGATGAATAAATAAATGAATGTTCCCCTTTTCAATATCTTTACCGATGTTGCTGTAGTACTGGTCCGTGTCCCTCCTGGCAGCTCTCTGGAATTCAGTTTGGTTCTCTTAAAAGATCTTTGTCCTTCTTGATTTTGGCTTCTCTTCTTCTTTCTGGAATCTCCACTACATCATCAATCGTCCACTTCAATTTCTTTCTCCTTTTCATTCTCTGCAGGTTTTTCTTTGGTTCTTCTTCGATGGCCATCCACAGCTCCTCTGGTTCTCAATCATTACTGTCCAGCATTTGTAATTGATTCCTGATGGCTTCTTTGAAGACAGATGGTATGTTCTTCACGTCATATTTTGGAAGAACGATGGTTTGATTGTTATTTTTCTCAACTTTACTTGAAGCCTCACCACTGGAAGTTCATCATCAGGCTCCAGTTCATGTTTTTGCGATTGAAATGGAGCTCATCTATCTCCTGCTGCAAAGAATGTTGTCTATTTGGTTTCAGTGAGCTCCATCTGGTGATGTTCAGGTGTACAGACGTCGTTTTGATTGAAAAATGTATTAGTATTGACAAAGTCATTGAACTCACCGAGGTTCATTAGTCATTCTCCTGCTTCATTCTTGCTTCCAAAGCTATTTAATTCCTCCTTCTCGTTTCTGACCTTAGCGCTCCAGCAGTCTCCAGCAGGACATCTTGTTTGCAGGTCTTCAATACGTTAAGAAACAGCTACAAATAAACTGATACAAGATGTGAATTAAATTGCGCAGAAATCAACAAAACATGTCATTTGACCAGGTGTGCCCAAACGCACTATACTGCCACCTCCACACTACACCTGTGAACGTGGACTGGACGTTATTACAGTTATGAATGTTTGGACCTTGAAGTCCGTCTGGACAGCTGAACTGCAATTCTATCCTCCGCTCTGACAGCTGTAAGTCAGATTATTTCAAACCGCAGACGGTTAATCAGAGCTGCTGAATGTACGCCTGCCTGCACAAAGAGCCGATATCTCCCTGCTGTAATTGGCAGTGTGAGAATCAATAGCAGCAGTTTAGTTCATATTATGAGGCGTTCTGAGTGTGAATCCCTACAGCGGATGTGTGTAACGCCGAAACAGTGCAGAACTGCCTCAGTGCAGCCTTTCTGCAGTTAGGGGACAAAAGAGAAGCGTCCTTGTCTCACGGTCAGACACAGGGGAGGTTTAAGGAGTTTGTACGCTTTCATGGTCCAACAGGACTCAAGGCCAAACTGTTCAGGAACAGAAACTGCAGCAGCTGCTTGGATTGGCCTGACAGTAAACAATACAGGTCTGTTTTCACACTTTCACACAAAACCGTCCACATCAGGACAATACCTTTATCTTCATCTTCAGATTGATGGAGAATGTGCTGTATATGGTTCTATATAGAACCTTTTTGAAAAGGATTCTAGATAGCACCAAAAAGTGTTCTTCTATTCTTACAATGTCAAGCCTGACACCACTGAAGAACCCTTTTTGGTGTTATATAGAACCATTTACAGCACATTCTCCATCGATCTGAAGAACCCTTTCACCACCTTAATCATGCAAAGGGTTTTTTGAATGTTCATGGTTGTATACAGAAGCATTTCCTTTACTAAACAACCCTTGAAGAACCATCTTTTCTAAAATTGCATATGTAACTACGCATATATATATATATATATATACACACACACACACACACACACACACACACACACTGACCAGCTTCATCCTTAAGTACACCTTGTTTCTAAACTCATTGTCTCAGCGTCCTGTGACCACTGATGAAGGACTAGAGGACACAACACAAACTGTGCAGCAGCAGATGAGCTATCGTCTCTGACTTTACATCTACAAGGTGGACCGACAAGATAGGAGTGTCTAATAGAGTGGACAGTGAGTGGACACAGTGTTTAAAAACTGCAGCAGCACTGCTGTGTCTGATCCACTCAGACCAGCACAACACACACTAACACACCACCACCACGTCAGTGTTACTGCAGTGCTGAGAATGATCCACCACCCAAATAGTACCTGCTCTGCGAGGGTCCATGGGGGTCCTGACCACTGAAGAACAGGGTAAAAGGGGGCTAACAAAGTATCAGAGAAACAGATGGACTACAGTCTGTAACTGTAGAACTACAAAGTGCACCTATACAGTAAGTGGAGCTGATAAAATGGACAGTGAGTGTAGAAACAAAGAGGGGGACTTAAATAGTGAAGAGTTTTATAAAAAGCACCTCACAAAGTCAGGAGTGTTTAGTGGGTCCTGTAGGTTCGCAGTCATACACACACATACAGACACACATCCGCAACATCAACAATGAAGTAAACATGTACACAGGAACAAAACAACTGATTAATCCTGCGTTTATTAGAAAATAATAATGATGATAATATCTTTGTAAACATCCAGAAAGGTGAGAGAAGCTTCACTTGGCTTTGAATACTCCAGAGGTGCTGGCCTTGGGTTTTCTGTGAAAGAGAAAAAGAAGAAAAAAAAGTTTATTTACAAGGTCAGTCGGTTCACCCGGACCACCATTCATTACTGCTTCCTCTCACTGAAATGCTGGACGGTGCTGAAAAGACTCATTTGTGATCGCTGCAGTTGATCTTTGACCTTGACAACAATATATTCAGTGCGTGTGTTGTTGAAAGGGTACGAGTGAAGCTCGTGATCCTCTCTGATTTGTACAAAAAACACAGAACATTGTTTCAAAAGGATTAAAGTATTTACTTCTGCAATTTGTATTAAACTTTTAATAAGTGTAAACAAGCTGTGTGTGTGTGTGTGTGTGTGTGTGTGTGTGTGTGTGTGTGTGTGTGCGCTCTGCTGTAAGTAAGCTGGCGCGATATGGCTGCCGCTTTACATCGTTTTTTTGTTTGTTTTGAAATCTTTGTGTGTATGTTTTGACGTTTCCCTCCTGGCTGAGGAGTTTACCATCATGTCCACTGAGACAGCGGCCTGTTTGGGTGACGTTACATCACAGCTATGATGCAGCCTGGACCGGCCGCTTGAGAGACGCTGTATTGTGGCTACGAGGCTCTCTGGACTGGGGACCTGATCGACGTGGCATCGCAGCCTGGTTGAGACTGCACAGCAGCTGTGGGGCTGCCTGGACTGGTAGGGTTCGGCTGCTTAGCAGCTCTACGCTGCAGCTATGAGGCCTCTCGGGCCGACTGCCGATGCGACGCTACATCGCAGCTATGTGGCTACCTGGGCCGGCCACTTGGATGACGCTGCACTGCAGCTATGAGGCCTCTCGGGCCGGCTGCCAATGCGACGCTACATCGCAGCTATGTGGCTGCCTGGGCCGGCCACTTGGACGACGCTGCACTGCAGTTATAGAGCTGGCCGGACTGGTCGTGTTCGGACATTTTCGGCCTTTGAGGCTTCCCGGGCCGGCCTCCTGTGTGATGCACTAGAGTTGCGGTGTGAGACTTTCCCTGCTACTAAGGACTCTTTCCAGGCTAGCTAGGTGACTCTATACCACGGTCAATAAAACCCCCCCTAGCTGTAGGAACTGTGGAGTGTGTGTGTGTGTTCTGTGTTATGTATTGCTGATTATGTATGTAGCGCCCCTACACTGGGTCATGGTAAATATATGAACTTGGCAAAATGTCCCGTTAGGGTGCTCTGGGTTCCGTAATTGTGGTTTAGTTGCTCTGAATTAATTTACTGCTAATTTAGGGAGGGATCCCAGTATAATGACTGCAAGAACTATGCATTGGTGGTGCTTTCAATTAATTTGCTGGACAGGAACTATGTTAGTACCCACCCCTGATGAAATACCCAGCACTTAGAATACTCAAATGTAGGATTTATATAGGTGTTAGCTTTAATACACCCCAAAAAGAAAATATAAACACTCTCAAGAAAATGAAAGGGTAAATTCACATAGAATCTGTACGGCTCAGTAACATCTTACTAATTCACAAACCAGCTCTTATAAGAGTTTAAACACAGATGTATAGCTTGAAAATCAGGCAGTTTTAAGACAGTGCTATTCTTCTCAAATGTTGGTAGTAAACAATCCTCAAGCTAAGGCGAACTCAAAGGAGTGGCTAGGCCAGCTGGCTGAGGTGGCTAACGGTACAGACTCCCACGGTGCCAGTGGAAGTTTGGGCTTTCCAGTCACCCAAACTGCTAACTGGTGATGGCTGAGCGAGGGGCTGGACAGGAGAAGGCCTGGTTGAGCTAACCAAAAAGTCCAGTATTAGCAAAGAGGCTGGCTGCTAGTCTGAGCTAGGCTAGCGGGCAGTTCAATGACTGTCAAACTGGTTAGCTAAACTGGTATAAGTACAAGTAATCACACAACATTACCATCACTTTCCTTGTATGACAGTTATTTACATGATATTGAGCCGATAACACGACTGTAATATTTGCACGGTGGTTCCGTTGGCCACAGAATCAACGTGGAACTTTCTCGCTCTCATCTGTAGTGCAAAGCCACTCGCAGAGAGTTTAAGTCACAAACTGAAACCAAATTAAAAGAAGGGAAAAGAAATAAAGATAGAGAATATAACGTGGTTCATCAATATTAAACCAAAATTCTAGGAACTATTTAATGGAACAAAACTCCTGGCTGATTTTTGAGCAGGGTTACATGTATTTTGTTACTTTCTGAATGTAAAGCGTCCTTGAGCATGGGAAAGGCGTTATATAAATAAAAGTGATGATGATGATGATGATGATGATGATGAGATCAACAGGACATTTTGACATGAAGTGCATAAGATTTTTATTTTAAAAAAAGAACTTTGTATATATTCTTAGAAAATGTATGGTGAGACCATAAACGCTCCTCTGTTGGTGGAACGTCTCCCTGGAACTGAACGTTTAACTCTTTGTTTGGCAGGTTTGTGGGTCAATTCCATTACAGTTGATCCGATTCAGGATCCAAGTGGACAATTCCACTCACGTGTTCCTAAGCAGAATTACACCTCATAAAACATTACGGCTCCCTTAGGAAGTGAATGGAAATGGAAGTGACCCTAAGCCTGTTGTTCACTCACTCCTATCTCTGAAATTACCTGCACACAGTCACAGCCAGCATTCAGTGAAATGAAAAGAGAGATTACCCAGGAGGCCGTGCGGGAGAGAAAGAACAAAAATGTGCTTCCAGTAAGGAATGAATGGAAGACAGATGAGAAAAAAGGAACAAAACCACACACATAAACACTCTGACTGATATGAAAACAGATTAAGCTTCAGAAAATCAATAGTAATGGCCGAAATACAGTTCTGTGCAAACATTAAGCCATGTAGAGCCATCTCTGGACAGGTCTGGACAGTACAAACTGATTTGTTCGAGAAAACATAAATAAAAAAATAAATGCAAACAAAATAAAGAGATAAATAATCCTTTGTGACTGTTCTGTGTGATCTAGTTTAAGCATTTTCAGATCTCTCCTTGAGAAAGTCCGGTATTTACAGTTACTATTCGAAAGATTGTCTAATTAATCCTTCATCAGATTAAATCAGTGCTGCTGATGGAATTTAAGCACCTCCACTCAGCCTGCAACTGTTTTAATTGATTTACTTGATTGATTTGCTTGATGAATGGATCAGACACAGCAGTGCTGCTGGGGTTTTTAAAGACTGTGTGACACTGAGGAGTTTAAAAACTCCAGCAGCACTGCTGTGTCTGATCCACTCAGACCAGCGCAACACACACTAACACACCACCACCACGTCAGTGTTACTGCAGTGCTGAGAATGACCCACCACCCAAATAGTACCTGCTCTGTGAGGGTCCGTGGGGGTCCTGACCACTGAAGAACAGGGTAAAAGGGGGCTAACAAAGTATTAGAGAAACAGATGGACTACAGTCTGTAACTGTAGAACTACAAAGTGCACCTATATAGTAAGTGGAGCCGATAAAATGGTACTTTCAAAAAAGATACAAGTTTTTGCCCCCACTGTGATGATAACATATATGTAACAATATAAAGAGACACTTTCAGAGCTTTATCAGCAGGATTTCTATCAACACCAAAAATAATTTAAATTAAATGACCTTTATTAATCCCACAACGGACACATTTCACCTCCGCATTTAACCCATCCATGCAGTGAAACACCACATACACACTAGTGAACACACACATTAGGGGGCAGCGAGTACACTTGCCCAGAGTGGTGGGCAACCCTATCCACCAGTTGGTGTTAGGTGTCTTGCTCAAGGGCACTTTAGTCATGTATCAAATTTAGTCAGGGATCAAACCGGCAACCTTCTGGTCACAAGGCTGGTTCCCTAACCTCCAGCCCATGACTGCCCCTGATAACAACGATAATAATATGTATTATTTTATTTATTTAGCACTTTTCTCATGAAATCATGTCAAATCTCTGTCATCTGATTATATCGGCCAGACTATATATCAGTCAGGTCCCAACAGACACTCACCCCAGACTCCTGCTGATGAACCTCCCATAATTCCTCATCATGCTGACTCTCTGTGCATGACGCTGAGCTCCCGGAGGCCTGTCCACCTGCTCCAACACTTCTTTAGGAAATAGAGTCTTCTCATCAAACGCGGCTTTCAAACCTGCTAGAGAAAGAAAAAGCTTTCATAACGCCCAGATCTGATAATAACCAACATATCTGCACGACCAATATATTAAAACATGATTTTATTGACTTTATCTTGCTTTATATCTTGACTGTAGATGTTTGTAGATGCTGTGTTTCTTTAACTAACATTCAACTAAATATTTATTAAATACAACTGAGCGTGAAGCTGATATAGATTCTGTTAAACCTAATCTTCAACAGAAAACCTACACCTACTCCTAAACCTAACCCTAGTCCTTCATCTACAGGGGACCATCAAAATAAAAAGAGTGCCCGAAGACTTAAACAACACAAAGGTGAAAATACAATATATTAAAGGGTCTAGGTTCCAATGGAATTACATACACACAACCAAAACTGCACTCTTCACTGTAAAGCATGCGTCCGCTCGCCACAGGCATGCTTGTCCAATGAAGACGACATAACCGAGTAATAATCAGCAATAATCAGTAATTTGCAGAAAAAAAAATATGACAATGTTTTTTACATTTGTTTATGGCTTCGAATGGGTAGAAAATATCATACTCTATGGGACAGAATCTCTTTTTTTTTCCCCCAATTTTCTTCCCAATTTACTAATATCCAATTCCACTCACTAGTGGAATTGGACGCACGTGATACCACCAGCACTAGGAGACCTGTGAAGCACCACCACATCTTTTCGCATTGCCGCTAACACGGCAGTAAGTTTTTATGTCTTACCTGTGGTGACTCGATACATTGAAGCAATGTTAAATTTTTTGCTTTGACATTTTTACACAATGCATTTCAGCCTTTGTAGTAAACAGCATAATAAGTACCACTGTAGGTAAATAATTCATAGAAAACTAACTAAGACAATGTTTTTTACATTTGTTTATGTCTTCGAAGGGGTAGAAAATATCATACTCTATGGGACAGAGTCTCTCTCTTCATTTGTTACTCTTCCCCACTAGTGGAATTGGATGCACGAAATACTACCAGCAGTAGGAGTCCTGTGAAGCACCACCACATCTTTTCGAACTGCCGCTAACACAACATCATTGGGCAGCTGAACATGCTTAGAGGAGAGCACTAACCACCAGTTCTGTTGCGTCAGCTAACAGACACCTGCACTGACTAGCATCTTGCTGAGTGATGGGGGAGACAGGGGGCCATCCTACCCACCCACTCTTGGATTCCCAGCCACGGACGGCTGTAGCGTTACCAGGGATCAAACTTTCGCTCTCCTGATGACTGGGCCATCGCTTAGACGGCTGCACCACTCAGAAGCCCCAGAAGCCCCAGAATCCCACTTTTAAATGTCGGTTACATCTTTTTGACTGGCCACTATACAATGACAGCACTCAAACAAATCAAATTTCATTGTCTTAAAATTTCAGCTTATTAAATAAGTAAATGCCCCTTGTTTGATTGTGCATGGCTACACCCTGCTATTTTCTACATTTCCCCTATATTTCATGCTTTATTCTTGCATTTAACTATTAAGCGTTCATAAGGCTTCATGGCGCCTACATAAGCTCATCACGGCAACTGATATAAACTTCGAATTCAATCCACCAATTTTTCATTTTTTTTTTCATAATTTGGCCGTAATGCTGTAAACAGAGCGGTTCAGAGTGGTTTGGGGTGGAACGCTCTGTTCTAGAGAAACTTACCGAGTCAGAACTGTTCACAGTGGTGGTGATAGGAACCAGACGTCCACCTCTAAAAGCTCCCTCACAGAAAGTTACTACATGAAATGGTTATGAATTCCCTGCCTGATGACTGAGACACTGTTTTATGATAGTTTTGAAAAGATTTAGTTCTAAAACATAGTTTTAAAAATACATTTATGGTGGAGAGGCACATGCAGGGCGTTATGAGACTTTTTTTTCTTTGTATTTATCACTATTTTCCATCATCAACATCCCATATAAGCGCAGAAGACTCGTGTAGGTTCACTGGTGGTTCTGGATAGTAAATAAAATGTCCATATTTGTGTTGTAGTCATGGTGACCCCTGGTTCCTATCACCACCACTGTAAAGACATCTGAACCATTTCACACCAAACCTCTCTGAATCTCTCTGATTACACCTCAAAGATTGAATGAAAAGTATTTTCTTACTTTCTCTGGTTTCCGGAGGTGGAGGCGGAGTCGGGGTGGAGGATTCCCACATCATTCCGAAATATAAATGAGGATTGATGACAAAGTCAGGCTTGGTCAGTTCACCAACCGTGTCCAGCTCCTCCAGTCTGAGCTCACTGAATGTACCTAAAATCAGAGACAGGAACAATAACTATGCTTAACACAACAGATTTCCACTCTTACCCCAAATGTAGTCAGTCAGTCAAGACAAGCTTGGTGTTTATTTCTTTAGTTGTAGAGCGATGAGGCTAATTGGAAGCTTACCCCACCAATTAGCATGGTGCTAACTGTATGCCTAAACCATACACTTGTCTCAAACCTGGTACAGTGGGGAAACTTCCAAGCCTTCTAATCCTTCAGATAAAGTCTAATGATTTCTTGGAACTAAAAATATACATAAAGTATTTTAATAATACTGTCGTTTTGTTATTAAGATTCAGTTGGAAACAACAGGGTTAAAATCTTACAATAGGTCCTTTTCACAAGCAACGGAAGTGTGTAAACGCTGGTAAAACAAGTTCCACTGTTCCACAGTTAGTAACTTCAGACATACAGGCGCTCGTATCACTTCAGCCACCACAGAAAGGTGAGTCACTTTATCTTTGTCATATTTGCCAAGATAGAAATTCGAGAATGTATCCAGAACTGTTGGAGAACCAAACACCACAATGAGTCCAAACTAAATAAGGGATGTAAATGACTCATGTGAAACTCCTTTACAGCTAGTAGAGTACAGTAATATCAGCCAAGTTAACATCTACAGAGTGATAAATCGATGGAGGTGAAAATAAACATAACCAAAACTCTAGATTAGCCATGTTAGCTGGAGACGTTGAAACAGCTCCGTAACAGTAGATTAGTTAAAAAGGCAAAAAGCTAAACACGCACATATCCCAGCAGGGGGCGTGCCGGGTCGTCAGGGTCCACAGCGCCACTGTAGACATTTTCTTATTTGCATTTATAAGCACTCAGCTGGTTTCCTAATACGCTAATCTGCACGAGGAACTGTCGAACACTAAAAAGTCGCGAGGCCGAAGTCAGTTTCTCATTCGAATTTTCCCGTTCCACCTTAAATGGTGCAGCAGTTAAATTCTGGTGGCTCAGGCACCACTTAAGGTGGAACCACCGGCTCCAGTGAACGAACATCTTATTTATTTTAATCAATTGTGCGTCTTTGTGTATGTCTGTCTGTTTGTTTGTCTGTTTTTGCACTAAAAATGTTTAATGAAAACATTTTCATAAAAAAGTACCCAAATCACTGCAAATCTGAAGTCACTCATATATTAGAAATGCTTTACTTAACGGTCATCATCATGTTTGTTGGTGGAGGGACTTGAGAAGACTCCATACTTAGTTCACTCGATCTGGAATATGCTATATTTTCTTTTTTATGTAGAGTAGCGAGAATCATATAAATTAACATAAACATTTAATTGCAAAAAAAAAATCTGCACAAAAAAACTGCAATTTCAAGAGAAAAAAAATATCACACTAGACTTTCTAGTATCTCTAGACACATTACTGGCTGTATACGAGTCGCAGTGTAAGCAGGTTTGGGTTAGTTTGGGTTAGCTAGTTGTTAGGAATGCAAAACAGGGGCGGCAGCTCTATGCCAGGACTCTCCACTGAAACTTTACTGTAAAACTACTGTAAAACCGATAAATACAAGCTCAGATATCTGTTAATGTCTGTTACAAGCTTCAAATAAAACATGTAATGTGTTTTACAAGCTTCAACTATATAAACTACTATATATACTATATAATTATAAATACTACTAGAAATCCCTCAAGACTATCAGCACATGGCCTGAACTGAAGGCCTACCTCTAAAGCAGGCATGTCAAACTGGGGACCTTTCAGGCCAAAGTGCTGCGGAGATCAGTGCTTATCCTCATCTAATGCTCTGAATTCAGTTGATGAAGTTCTCGCTAATTAGCTGGAAAGCTGAATCAGGTGTGTTAAATGAGGCAGTGTGCTGAAGTCTGCAGTGTTCTGGCCCATGAGGCCTGGAGCCTGACTCGTGCTCTAAAGGCCACTGCACACTGGAGGCGATGAGTCACGTAACACTGCTTTAAAATACAGACAGAGCCGATAATAGCAGGTTTATTTTCATTTTTATACCCTACTTGTACACATTGAGCGAAATAAGTTGCTCAGTATCATTTATCATGCTTGTTATTGATTTACTATCTATACACAGGCTAGGCTAGCTGAGTAACTCACCATTAGCACCTGTCTGTTCATCTAAAAGACTGGCTGCCTTCCTCTGTGTACAATTTCAAGCCACATGTGATCCACTGTGGTCTCAATATGGCTTTAATTTAATGTAGTTATGGCTAAATGCTGAGTGGCGCGCTGAGGAACTGAACAGTGCTCTGGAGTCATGGAGTGCCGCCACATGTCGACACGCTTTAGCCTTAATAGTTATGGCTCAATATGGGCTGTGTGGAGTTATGCAGTATCTGTAATAGACTTGATTATGTGGTTTCTGACACTATATGACTCACTGTTATCTACAAACATGGAATAAAATATATCACAAAGCTAAAAACAGTGGTGGACAGTAAAGAAGTAAATGTAATTCGTTTCTGTACTTAAGTAGTTTTTTGTGTATCTGTACTCTACTGACGTTTTTCCATTTTGGGCAACTTTTTACTTTCACTCCACTACATTTCAAAGTCAAATATCTCACTTTTTACTCCACTACATTATGAGAAATCTGTTGTTCCTTTTGGTTTATGTGTGAATAAAAACGTAACGTCAAAACGAAAGAAGTGTGAAGCAAGAACACCAATCAGGGCACAGCGGTCACTTTTGTTTTGACCTGTTGGTCATACCGACCCAGTGCAGCACACGGTTCAACATCAGTGCAGCAGTGTAAAAGTTTGGGAGAGTCTATTCAACATAAATGATGGAAGAAACTCCTGACTCTAACCTAACTTTGTGTAAATAGACCACAATAAATTTAAACTTGTTTAAATTTAAACTAATTTTTTTTTAAACTAAGTTGCAAATAAATCTCAAACTGAAACTTCACTTGTTCGCAAAAGGTTATTTGAGAGCCACTCGGTTCTACCTAATGGAAACTGTTTGCCATCAGCGTCACTAATTAATGACCTTCTATTAAAAGACTGGTTTACCAAGAGGGACACTGGAGTATTTTCACCTAAAACTGAGTTAATGAAGCGAGTCTTGTTACAAAAATGATAATAGGACATCAGAGCCATAATTAATCTTTTAGTACTTTTACTTTTGATGCTTAAGCACATTTGAGGGCAAATACTTTAGGACTTTTACTCAAGTGGAGGTCTAAAGGGAGGAACTTCTACTTTTACTGGAGTAATATTTTACCTTGGGTAGCTCTACTTTAACTCAAGTACGTGGTTTGTGTACTTCGTCCACCACTGGCTAAAACAGTCACAGCCAACCAGTAGCATGAATTTGATTTGCATTTCTGTAGATAACAGTGTATGATACAGTGTCAGAAACCACATAAACAAAGGAAGCAAATCCTGCACACCAAACATGCCTCGACTGATGAACTATATCTTGGGTAAGAGAGATAAAACTGTATATTTTTAACGAATTATCACCTTAAAGGCACTGAAACAGAGCTAAGAGTTGAACTGACCGACAGAGCTGTTCTGCACACCGTTCACATACGGACGCCGCTTGCTGTCACTCAGCTGCAGGCCTACGCCACGCCCGTCCTCGGAGTCCTGCCCTTGCTCGCCAACACTGTCACCGAGGATGTGGGGTTGCCTAGGAGACAGGAAACAGGTCAGTGAGGTCTGCAGCTGATAAACACACGCAGATGGAGGACTAATTCACTGAAATTTGCAGGGTTTTAATTTTAATTTGAAATATTGCAAATTTTAACTCAATTATCTAACGATTATGATTGATAGTTTATTCTGGTCATGCCTTGAGCAGCTGCCAGCCTCAGCACCTCCTGCATCGTTTGTCTGTGTCTGTTGTTTTTTGGATATTTTTGCATATTTCTCTTTAAGAGTCGTTCATGTTTGTCTTTCTATTGAAATTTCCTACTGCTTTCTAGCTCAATAAAGCACATCTATCAGTCTAAAATATGCCATTTGTGTAGCTGAATATTAAATCAGGACAGTTTTACATTCTTCATCTACAAAATGCAATATTCTTTATCATGAATACAGTCATATGCCAAGTTTGGACGCCCCTGGTCAAATAGCGCTGGTAATTGAAGGGTTAAGTGAAAGTAATCGAAAACATCCTCTACAAAGAACAAACTTCTGCACATTTTAATGCACAATTTAAATGTTTATTTAACATATTGATAAACAAAATAATGCATAAAATGTGACCTGTGCAAAAGGTATGACCTATTTATACACTTTATAGACAAACGTATTGGGACACCTACACATCACACCTACAGGAGCCTGACTCCCATTCTAAATCCATAGGCATTAATATGGAGTTGGTCCCCCTTTGCAGCTCTAACAGCTTCCACTCTTCTGGGAAGCTTTCTACAGATGTTGGAGAGAGTCTGTGGGAATTGGTTGAGGTCAGGGCTCTGTGAGGTTCTTCCACACCAAACTCACCCAGTGATGCCTTTATGGACCTTGCTTTGAGGCTCAGCCATGCTGGAACAGAAGAGGTTCTTCCCCAAACTGTTCCCACAAAGTTAGATACAAATGTCCAAAATGTCTTGTTCTGCTGAAGCATTAAGATTTCCCTTCACTGGAACTAAGGGTTCTAGACCAACCCCTGAAAAACAGCCCCATATCATCATCCCTCCTCCACCAAACTCTACAGCTGGCACAGTGCAGTCAGGCAGGTAACGTTCTCCTGGCATTCGCCAAACCCAGACTCGTCCATCAGACTGACAGATAGAGAAGCTGATTCGTCACTCCACAGAACACGTTTCCACTTCAGTATGCAATATTTAAGTCATTGCTGTATTTTCATGACATTGAGCCGAATGGTGATATTCCCCATTTTGGTGATGAGTCGCTAAAACACAAGCAGGTTGAGGTGTCCAGAGTAAAAGTGTGGGCAGAGTTGTGGACGATTTCACAGCCCTAAAGTGGCCTAATGTAGTTTTTTAGCTTTATAACTATTTAACTAACTAATCATTAAAACTACTGTAATAGTGTCCCACAATTTTGAATGCTATTTTTCAATCATTGTCTCTCCAGCTTGGTGTGCAATTGAAGACTGAACCTCAGCATGTAGCTTGACTCTGGGTGGGACAGTTGATTACTGTGCAACACATCAATAAGCTCAGCTCATCTGCATAAAGTTTGTCCAGAAGAAGAGAGATCAGAGTGAGCAGACTAAGATCAGAGTGGTTGCTAAGGTGTAGCTAAGCCATTGCTATGGTCTCCCAAGTGGATGCTAGGCTGTTGCTATGTGATCCCTGGTGGTTGCTAAGATGTTGTTGGGCCATTGCTATGAAATCCCAGGTGGTTGCTAAGGTGTAGCTAAGCCATTGCTATGGTCTCCCAGGTGGTAGCTGAAGTCTTGCTAGGCCTTTGCTATGACATCCTTGTAGGTTGCTAAGGTGCTGCTAGGCCATTGCTACGGTATCCCAAGTAGTTGCTTAGGTGTAGCCAAACCATTGCTATGGTCTTCCAGGTGGTTGCTAAGGTGTTGCTAGGCAGTTGCTATGTAATCTCTGTGGTTGCGAAGGTCTTGCCAGGCCGTTGCTGTGACATCCCAGGTAGCTGCTAAAGTATTGCTAGGCAGTTGCTAAGGTATCCAAAGTGGTTGCTAAAGTGTTGTTAGGCCATTGCTATGGTATCCCAAGTAGTTCTAAGCTGTAGCTAAGCCATTGCTATGGTCTCCCAGGTGGTTGCTAGGCAGTTGCTATGCAATCTCTGGTGGTTGCGGAGGTCTTGCTAGGCCTTTGCTATGACATCCCAGGTAGCCGCTAAAGTATTGCTAGGCAGTTGCTGTGGTATCCAAAGTGGTTTCTAAAGTGTTGCTAGGCCATTGCTATGCTATCCCAAGTAGTTGCTAAGCTGTAGCTAAGTCATTGCTATGGTCTCCCAGGTGGTTGCTAAGGTGTTGCTAGGCAGTTGCTATGAAATTTCTGGTGGTTGCAGAGGTCTTGCTAGGCCTTTGCTATGACATCCTTGTAGGTTGTTAAGGTGTTGCTAGGCCATTGCTAAGGTATCCCAGGTAGTTGTTAAGATTTTGCTAGCCAGTTGCTATGGTATCCCCGGCAGTTGCTGAAAGGCCACTGCTATGATACCCCAGATAGTTGCTAAGATGTTGCTAGCCAGTTGCTAGAGTATCTAAAGTGGTTGCTAAAGAGTTGCTAAGCCAATGCAACAGTATCCAAGGTAGTTGCTAAGGTGTTGCTAGCCAGTTGCTAGGGTATCTAAAGTGGTTGTTAAAGAGTTGCTAAGCCAATGCAACAGTATCCAAGGTAGTTGCTAAGGTGTTGCTAGGCAGTTGCTATGGTATCCCCGGCTGTTGCTGAAAGGCCGTTGCTATGATACCCCAGGTAGTTGCTAAGATGTTGCTAGGCAGTTGCTATGGTAACCAAAGTGGTTGCTAAAGTGTTCCTCTGCCATTGTTATGGTATCTAAGGTGTTTGTTTTTGCATTGATATCCCAGGTGGTTGCTCAAGTCTTGCTAAGCAGCTGCTGTGGAATCCACCATGGTTGCTAAGGTGTTTACATTATTACAAAAGTTACACAATTACATTTACATTCTCTATCAGCAGCCTGCGCTTCTGATTTCTTTTCAAAATATCATAAAACAAGGCAAAAATGTAATGGGTCCTTTTTTCTGCAAAACAAGACTGTAAATGTACGTGATATAAAAGTGTTTGGACACTCTCTCCTCCAGGCCTTTGGATCAAGGAACAAAGTAAGAAGGGAAGAAAGTAATACTTTAAAACCTGGGTGAACTTATGAAGGTGAAGTAATGAATATCGGGCAGTAATTTTAGATGCTGAGTTAAGCTTTGGGTCCTTTATTAAAGAACGTGGCAGCTTTTCATCGGAGAGTTTAGCCAAAGTGCAGCTATTCTTCACACGGCCACACAGCCGGCTTTAATGAAGGCATTTATCAGGAGAAGATTACATTCCCGCATTACAGCAGCGCAGTCTAACCCTGAGATACTAAACTCTCCAACACAACAGCAACAGGCCTGCTGACTTTAAAGCGATAGTATGGTAAAGAATAAAATTTTCCCAGCTTCCCTCCTCATACCCCAAATATAGTCCATCAGCAAAGACAGGCTTGGTTACCTTTGCTCTGGAACTATGAGGCTAAAGCAACAAACAAATAACCAGTTAGCATGGTGCTAACTGTATGGCCAAATCAACACGCACTGTTCTTTGGCTGAACTTTTCCTAACCGTATTTAAGAGGCTTTTATTATCATTTGGAACAGATTAAGACATGGAGAGTTAATCACAATATCAACACCAGCCTGAAATTTCAAAATAAAAGTTCAAGATGCTTCTCATTTCTCATCGCTTTAGTAAATATGGGCAGAAGGTTGGGCAAAATTCCCAAAAAAACAAACACGGACAGGCTATTTTAGACCAAGCTGGGGAAAAATGGGATTATGCACGCACACTTCAGACTGAATCTTCTATGATCAGCATCTTGGCCGACCGCACTGCCTGCTAAGATTAACAGAACTGTTAGAGATGATTATGAAATGAGTTTATATCTGTACATCAACCCAATTTCTTCAAATAGAAGTAGTCATAAAGTTGCTTCCAGAAAAAATTACAGATGCAAGGGCAAAAAAAAGGCAATTTTGGGCCATTTTGTCTTATTTTCGATATATTTTTATATAGATAATGAATTGTAATTTTCCAAAGGGTAAACAGAATATATATTAAATATATTGTGATGTATTTCACTTTTTGTATATGGCAATATAGACGGATATGGCTGTATGTTGTCAATATATTCCAGATGTAACTCGAATACACTGTAGTTTTGCAAATGAGAAAGCTGGTGTGAATTAGTGAGTATTATTATTAGCGGATGGGCAAATATTTTCATCAGAATGTGTTTATTAACTTTAATAACTCAACAATATTAATTGGAACACCGAACATGAATGTCATGTGAACACAGAGAGAGAAGGAGAGAGAGAGAGAGAGAGAGAGAGAAAGTGAGAGAAGAGAAAGAGATGAGGGAAGAAAGAGAAAAAAGTAAAAAAGAGAAGAGAGGAGAGAAAAATAAGAGAGAGAAATGGAGAGAGAGAAAACAGAGAGAGAGAAATAAGAGAGAAAGCGTCAGAAGAGAGAATAAGAAACAGATCAAGAGAAATGCACAGAGACGAAGAGAGAGAGAGATTAAAGGGGTAAAGTGGACAGTTTTGATAAGAGGCACTTATTGAACCATTATGTAGAAAAGCAGTGTGTTAAAAGTTTGAAAACTCCAAGTAGAAAAGCTAAAAACTTTTCTATTTGCACCTCATTTTCCCATCAAAAAGAGATTTTTATCAGTACATTATTGGTACTTTGATGAAAGACTAATTTGATGTGTGATTTGACTAAAGCTTTGATTTTAAAAATAAGAGAGAGAATGAAAATCACTATGATAATAATTTTATTATATAATAGTTTTTCAATACTATTATTGCATAATAAACATACAAAGTTCTTCCAATTAATAGAAGATGAGAGCGTTCATCGTAGCAGACAGAGGGACTCCAGTACAGTTTTCCATAATAAGAGAACAAGCAGCTCACTCAGAGCCTCCACACAGATCTGGACTGTTTATTTGTTTTGTTGTTTATTGTTTGTTTACTGACACAGGCTGTTCTACATGTTGTATTATTATTATTGCTGATGTAAGGCTGGGACTGTGGGACAGAGTGGCTCATTAGTACTTCATATAGGCCTGATTTACTTTACAGAAACATTTTCAGGTTGGGTAAAGTGGCTGATTGCTGTTTGATTGCTTTTTCAGTGTAACTGTATTGACTGGTTTACAGGTTTGGGGGGGGCGGGAGGAACAAAAAGAGGGGGATGTAGTTTGGACGACATAAAAAAAGCATTGAAAATATCAAAATGAGTTTCATTCACCCACACCACTAACCATTTCTGGCTTTGAACCTGGGGTCGGCAACATGCAGAGCTGCATGCGGCCCTTTTACTGCCCTGTTGTGGCTCCACAGGTGAATTAGATTTATAGGTAAAAATAAAATGATCCTCCTTTACAGTAAAATATAGCTCTGCTGGTCGTTCAACACAGTTTTAACAATAAATGGTCTTACTGGTCTCACTAAATTAACAATAAATGGTCTTACTGCATTGCATTGGCTCTGTACCTCTACCCTGCACAATGACAATAAAGTTGAATGTAATCTAATTTAATCACTGGAGTTAATGTAGAACTGCTAATTCACCCTTTAACCCTGAAGACTACTGGTCACCATAGCAACGCAGATGACAATCTCGCCTAGCTAGCAGCTAACGAAAAGGCAAAGAGAAAGATTTAAGACGAACATTGATCATTTAGAGACGAATGGACTTATTTGTGTTTATAATCACTCCAGCTGGTTTCCTGATACGTTTAACCTGCAATGAGAAACTGTCAAACACTGAAAAGTCACGAGGCTGAAGTCAGTTTCTCATTCGCCAGCTTCTTGTTCGAATTTTCCCGTTCCACCTTAAATGGTGCAGCAGTTACATTCTGGCACTTCAGGCACCATTTAAGGTGGAACGTGAGAATTTGCACAAGCAACTGACGAATGAGAAGCAACTTCAGCCTCGTAAAAAGTCAAACGTTCAGAGAGATTTTACAAGAAACTGTTCTACTTTTGAGGAAAAGTTTCCTGCCGGAGATGCGAGAAAACAGCTACAGCTGAGCTAAAGCTTAAAGCAGAGCAAAGCAAGTCTGCATTTTATTTTATTTTATTTTGTATTATATATTAGGGCCAGTTGTGGGCTGGAGGTTAGAGAACCAGCCCTGTGACCAGAAAGTAGCCGGCTTGATCCCCTAAGCCGAAGTGCCCTTGAGAAAGGCACCTAATTCCCAACTGCTCCCCGGGCGCTGTGGATAGGGCAGATAGGGCCCACCTCTCTGGGTAAGAGTGTTCACTGCCCCCTAGTGTGTGTGTTCACTGGTGTGTATGTGGTGTTTCACTGCACAGATGGGTTAAATGCGGAGGTGAATTTCCTCGTTGCAGGATTAATAAAGTGTGAGAACTAACTAAGAACTAAGAAACGGCCCTGAATCCAATTGATCCATGCTCTGCTCACAAATGTACGGGGTTCGACAAGCTTTACAGAAAACTTGAATAAGTCAACAAATGTGTCACCATGCATTTAAAATAAGTGCTTTAAAATGTATAACTGATTCTAAATGTAGGTATTGTGATATAAACTGAGTCTGTTCTACAGTTTCTCATTAGGCTGAATGAATAACTGACTCTAAATGTAGGTATTGTGATATAAACTGAGTCTGTTCTACAGTTTCTCATTAGGCTGAATGAATAACTGACTCTAAATGTAGGTATTGTGATATAAACTGAGTCTGTTCTACAGTTTCTCATTAGGCTGAATGAATAACTGACTCTAAATGTAGGTATTGTGATATAAACCGAGTCTGTTCTACAGTTTCTCATTAGGCTGAATGAATAACTGACTCTAAATGTAGGTATTGTGATATAAACCGAGTCTGTTCTACAGTTTCTCATTAGGCTGAATGAATAACTGGCTCTAAATGTAGGTATTGTGATATAAACCGAGTCTGTTCTACAGTTTCTCATTAGGCTGAATGAATAACTGACTCTAAATGTAGGTATTGTGATATAAACCGAGTCTGTTCTACAGTTTCTCATTAGGCTGAATGAATAACCGACTCTAAATGTAGGTATTGTGATATAAACCGAGTCTGTTCTACAGTTTCTCATTAGGCTGAATGAATAACCGACTCTAAATGTAGGTATTGTGATATAAACCGAGTCTGTTCTACAGTTTCTCATTAGGCTGAATGAATAACCGACTCTAAATGTAGGTATTGTGATATAAACTGAGTCTGTTCTACAGTTTCTCAATAGGCTGAATGAATAACTGACTCTAAATGTAGGTATTGTGATATAAACTGAGTCTGTTCTACAGTTTCTCATTAGGCTGAATGAATAACTGACTCTAAATGTAGGTATTGTGATATAAACTGAGTCTGTTCTACAGTTTCTCATGAGGTTTAAAGAGATTTTTCCCAGTGTTCTGTAAAGCTTGTCCAACCTAACAACATTAGCTAAGAAAGAACACATTTGTGGGCGGAGCATAGGTAGGTTAACTGCTGCACAGCCCCCAAACTCACCGAGTGCTAGACTCCTCTTCAATCCCATCCTCCTCCAGTGTGTGGTGGTCAGTTCCTGCAATCTCTGGACTTTCTGGATTGCAGACAGAGTTTTCGCTGGACTTTCCTGGACTCCTCTGTCTCTCGACTCATCTCACTTTTCACCTCCTTCACTTTCTCCAGCAAGCCTACACCAGGTCCACCCAAGTGCCAGTGCGCCTCCTGGTGGATAATGATGGGGATTCATTTCAGTTTAATGAACAGATTCCTTCAAACTATCCATTTTGTTTGATTTACTGATTCACTGATTCATTGATTCACAAATAAAGTCAGTTTTTTTATTTATATATTCTGTTCAGTAAAATCTGATATTACTACTTCAACTTACTAACACACAACAGAGTCTACAGAAAGGAAATATGAGCAAATTCAAAGAGTTTACTGAACAATTTACAGTAACTACCAAATCATTTATCGTAATTACTGAATAATTTATAGTAATTACTAAATTATTTACAGTGTTTACTAAATCATTTTAGTAATTACTGAATAATTTATATTAGCTGCCAAATAATTTACAGTAATCACTGAATAATTTATGGGATTTATGGAATAATTTGCAGTAATTACTGAATAATTTATAAGAGTTGTTGAATAATTTACAACAGTTACTGAATAATTTACAGTAATTACTGAATAATTTACAGTAATTACTGAATAATATATAGGAGTTATAGAATAAATTATAGGAGTTATTGCACAATTTACAGGATCTACTGAATCATTTATAGGAGTTATTGAATCATTTATAGTATTTATAGAAACATTAATAGTAATTACTGAATAATTTAGAGGAGTTATTAAATAACTTACAGGAGTTACAGAATAATTTGCAGCAGATACTGAATAATTTTTAATACTGAAACATTTACACTAGTTACTAATTAATTTACAGTAGTCATTAAATAATTTATAGCAAATCCTGAATGTATAGTAGTCACTAAATCATTTATAGTAGATACTGACAATTTCTTAATTAATTAAGTCTTAACTTAATAAAGTCGGTACTGAATATTTCATAGTAGCTACTGAATAATTCATAGGAGGCGGGGCCACATTGGCACATCTGAACAGCCATTTATAAATGTGTTGGTTTTCGTGACATCACAAAAACAATGAACTCTACATGGGCTGTTTTCTCAGCTTATTGTAAATTTAATGTAAACGATGTTTACATACTACATCAAACTTATTTTAAAAAAAGCGAAAGTTTGATGTTCCTTTAAAGTTAACTGTGATTATAGATGCAATTAAATGAGATGCTACAAAATCTTTAACTCAGCTGGAATTGTGAATCAGTGGATCTGATGTACTGAAAGGACTCAGTTGAGAAGGATGACTGGGTGGTGAGCTGGACGTGGCTGCTGTTTTAGAGTAAAGGCTGAAAGCACTGCAGATGCAGCTCTGATCTACAGCACATCCGCATGGCCCCAGGCTTCAACAACAACAACAACAACAAGAAAGGAGGCAAAACTTTACAAACATAGCCTTGAGCTGCTGTAATGCGGGCCACGGCTGTTTGAGATGTGCGTGTTCCTGTAACGAGCTTTGTTCAGCGAGTTTCCCCGTCACTCTCAGCGCTCTGCTGTCCGGCACTAGAGAAGAAGACCGAGCGCTTTTATCACAGATCAATACAGACTAAAAGTCTGACAGCCTCTGTACATACAGCAGGACAGCAGCATGAAAACAAGATACTTAAAGTGATAGTTCAGAAAATTTCCACAATTTCTTTCTTACCCCAAGTGTTTTACACTGGAACTACACTTAACACTTTAGTTTTAGCACAGGCTAATGAGCTACGAAATAATGGAAGCCTGTACCCCACCAATTAGCACTGTGTTTTAGCCATGCTGATGTGCTTTAGTCCATGTTTATAGAGAACAGTGTGGCATATAGTTAGGAAACCACATAACCACAAAAGTCTATTAGAGATTATTTAAAGTCAATCTGAAATCAAAATAGACCTTATTTAGTTCATGTCTTTGGTCAAATTAAGCGCAGGTCACTGTGTCATATCATTCAAGAGACAAAAATCTTGTTTCTCCATGATCTTTGATCAAAGTGTAGTGACTTTTTCTGCCTCTAAACACCATCTGACATTGGGTTTCGTCACCGCGTTCCAGCGCCAGGGAATAATTATACTAACCAATGCAACCTTGCAACTCTGCAAGGCTGAGACACTGCAAGGCTGTGATGCTACAAGGTTGTGAGGCTACAGCGTTATGAGGCTGCGAGGCTGTGATTCTGTGAGGCTGCAGGATTGCAGGGCATTTTGGTTGTAATACTGTCAGGCTGCAAGGCTGTGGTTCTGTGGGACTGTGAGGCTGTGGTGCTTTGGGGCTCTGAGGCTGTGAGCCTGTGGTGTTGCGAGGCTGCCGGGCTTTGATGTTGTGAGGCTGCAGGGCTGTGATGTTGTGAGGCTGTGATGTTGTGAGGCCGCGGGGCTGTGATGTTGTGAGGCTGTGATGTTGTGAGGCTGCAGGGCTGTGATGTTGTGAGGCTGTGATGTTGTGAGGCTGCAGGGCTGTGATGTTGTGAGGCCGCGGGGCTGTGATGTTGTGAGGCCGCGGGGCTGTGATGTTGTGAGGCTGTGATGTTGTGAGGCCATGGGGCTGTGATGTTGTGAGGCTGTGATGTTGTGAGGCCGCGGGGCTGTGATGTTGTGAGGCTGTGATGTTGTGAGGCTGCGGGGCTGTGATGTTGTGAGGCTGTGATGTTGTGAGGCTGCGGGGCTGTGATGTTGTGAGGCTGTGATGTTGTGAGGCCGCAGGGCTGTGATGTTGTGAGGCCGTGGGGCTGTGATGTTGTGAGGCCGCGGGGCTGTGATGTTGTGAGGCTGTGATGTTGTGAGGCCACGGGGCTGTGATGTTGTGAGGCTGCAGGGCTGTGATATTGTAGAACTTTATTTATGACAACATTTATTTTTTTATATTTATTTATTTTATTTTATATTTCTGTAAACTATTTTTCTGTAAGGACTTTTTTTTGCTTTCCTTTTTGGTTTAATTTCAACCAATTAATTTGGTTTAATCTCAAAAATGTAGGGCCAAACTCAAATTATAATGGTTTTCACTGCTGGTTTTGGCTGGTCAGAGTCCAGATTTAAGCCCTACAGAGAACATTTAGGCCCAATCCCATTTCTTCTTTTTACCCTTACCCCTTGTTTTTGAGTGTCACCCTAACCCCTTGGAACTGAGTTACAGGGTAGTGGTTGAAATCTTCCCTCTGAAATGGGACCCTCAAATAAAAAGAGCATCACTTCATTAACAGCTACCAGCGCTGCTCTGTAGGAGACCCTGCCAGTCTGCAGTGACAGCAGAGGAGGTTAAAGTTCAGCTCCTCACTGCTGGGCTTTAGTTACATTTAGGGCATCATATGACTTCAAAGAGGGGGGCAGTTATTTATTATCACCCACCGCTAATTCTTCAGTGATACGAAGCTGAAGTCAGATATTCGGCAGCTTCTTGTTCGAATTTTCCCGTTCCACCTTAAATGGAAACAGCAGTTACATTCTGGCGCTTCAGGCGTCAGAACTGCTGGACTATTTAAGGTGGAACGGGAAAGTTGGCTAGCTAGCTACCGAGACATTAGCATGCTATTAGCGATTTTTTATGCCTGTTATGAAGAAAACGACCAAAATACACTGAAACGATATTAAACTAAGATAATACAGTGGTTATCATAATTTTAACAGAGAAAATTCTCACATTTGTGGGTTTCTTTGGTCTCTTGTTCTCCATCTTGCTGTTCTCATATCACTCAGTTTGAAGTGTCTGAAAAACCTCTGTTTGGAGGGTCATGTTGCCCCAACACTTCACCCTACCCCTCTATCTCAACAAGAACTGGGAGACCATACCCCTAGACGTGAACGTGCAAAACAGAGAGCAAAGGGCTCAGTGGTACGGGTGAGGGGTGAGATGGGACTGGGCCTTAGTCTCACATTAAACATAAACTAGCTCTGAATTGTTTTCTAGCTGTTTGAAGCCGTCAATGCTGAGTGGAAATACAGAGTCTTTTTTCTGTAAAAGGTCTGAAAGTTTATACACAAGACTTACAACATTTAAAGAAATCGAAGGGAAAAATATCCCGTACTAAGTTACTTTATCTACATGTTCAATGATTTGTTGTTAAAACCATTAAAAGCTCAATGTTTTGCAGTTTTGGGCTTGGCCCATTAGTTTTTATTTATTTTTTTGCCCAGGAGTGCATATCCACCTATTTAGCCTACAACGCTTTAGCCACGCCCACTCACAATGAAGTTCTAAGGAGAGTTTTAGTTTGGACAGCTTTCTGAATGAGGACAGCCAATCAGAACAGAGCTTATATACATATATCAGTCTTAAAGGCAGGGTTATTATTTGAGGGATAAAGAGAGGTTGGAATTATTATTATTCGGACTATTTTTGGTTCATAAAAGCACACAAACATTATAAGTGGACCTCAGAGAAAATGCAGCACAAGAAAAATGCAGGATGTGGGCCCTTTAATAAGTATTGTATTCTCTCAATGGTAACTTCATAGGAGATGGAAAAACCCACCTGACCGAAGATCCCAATGGTGGGTCCAGGCAAGAAGCTGAGGGCCAGGCTGCAGTCCGTCGAGGCGCTGAGGAGGAAGAGCTGGTCACCATGAACACACGTCTCAAGGTGGGTGACGCAGTCGACATGAGGCCGGAGACTGGAGAGCAGCGCTGGAGCCTGACTGGTTACGGTTTCAGTGGGGTGGAGGCAGTAATCCTGATAGAAAAGGAGGAACCATTACAATCTTTACTCTCCCCTGGCCACTTTATCAGAAACTCCTCTCCTGTAGCTCCACCATGCTGGTGTAGAATGTGAGTGTGTTTCTAATAAAGTGACCAGGTAGTGGAAGCACAAGGTAGGTGTTCCTAATAAAGTGGCCAATGAATGGAAGCACAAGGTAAGTGTTTCTAATAAAGTAGCCAGTTAGTGGAAGTGGCCAGTTAGTTGAAGAACAAGGTAGGTGTTTCTGATAAAGTGGCCAGTGAGTGGAAGCACAAGGTAGGTGTTTCTAATAAAGTGGCCAGTGAGTGGAAGCACAAGGTAGGTGTTTCTAATAAAGTGGCCAGTTAGTGGAAGCACAAGGTAGGTGTTTCCAATAAAGTGGCCAGTGAGTGGAAGCACAAGGTAGGTGTTTCTAATAAAGTGGCGAGTGAGTGGAAGCACAAGGTAGGTGTTTCTAATAAAGTGGCCAGTTAGTGGAAGCACAAGGTAGGTGTTTCGAATAAAGTGGCCAGTTAGTGGAAGTACAAGGTGTTTCTAATAAAGTGGCCAGTGAGTGGAAGCACAAGGTAGGCGTTTCTAATAAAGTGGCCAGTTAGTGGAAGCACAAGGTAGGCGTTTCTAATAAAGTGGCCAGTGAGTGGAAGCACAAGGTAGGCATTTCTCATAAAGTGGCCAGTTAGTGGAAGCACAAGGTAGGCATTTCTAATAAAGTGGCCAGTGAGTGGAAGCACAAGGTAGGCGTTTCTAATAAAGTGGCCAGTGAGTGGAAGCACAAGGTAGGCGTTTCTAATAAAGTGGCCAGTTAGTGGAAGCACAAGGTAGGCATTTCTAATAAAGTGGCCAGCGAGTGGAAGCACAAGGTTAGGTGTTTCTAATAAAGTGGCCAGTTAGTGGAAGCACAAGGTAGGTGTTTCCAATAAAGTGGCCAGTTAGTGGAAGCACAAGGTAGGTGTTTTGAATAAACAAGTACTAAGATGTGTTTGTGCTATAATCTTACAAATATGCAACATAATAATGTGTATAGATAGATAGTTAGATGGATAGATAGATAGATAGATAGATAGATAGATAGATAGATAGAGACTGACCTCTAACCTTGCCTGCAGCAAGAAGAAGACAGAGGGAAAATAAAGCTTTGGGCAAAGTGATTTGTGCAGAAATCCACAGGGGTAATTAGGTTATAACAGTGGAGGTTTAGTAGACACACAGTGGATCAGACAGACGCTTGAATCAAAGCCATGTCCTCCTGGAGAGAAACCATGGCAATCCATTAGACTGCCTGTAAGGCAATTACATCAGACAAGTGGGCCGTCCAACGGCTAAATGTGAGGCCACAAATTATCATGAGTTGTTAAAGCGGTAAAATGAAAACGAACACCCAATCCATCCTCATCGGAGCGAGCGGTTATATTTCGGGGGAAAGTTATGGGGGAATTGACAAACACCCCCCTCTCCCTTCATCAATCACTCTGTTTCGCTGTCAGCCTCCCTGCGTATCTCAAGGACAAAAACGTGCTTCTGACAGCTGCAGTGACGACTGCAGGAGGCAGTAAATCTCCCCTCAACACACTGCAGAAAACAATGTTTTACTGAGGAACAGAGGGATTTAAAAAGTGACACCGAGTTTAACTTGAAGACTTGAAAAAGTATTTCAGTCTTGACTTGAAAAGCCAGCTAATACTTTTAAAAAGTTAAAACAGTTGTAGACACCTTTTCAAGTTTTGGCCATACCGTGTACGTGTGTGTTTTGGGGGGGTAAAATTTTGGGGTTTTAAGCTAAATGTGTCACTGTCATTGTTTGGTAGCGTAAACAGTGGTTGTTATGGAATTCTAGGTGATTGCAAAGATGTTGGAAGTTGGTTGGCTGATTGCTTTGTTGTTGCTAAGCCATTGCAATGTTGTCCCAGGTGGTTGTTAAAGTGTTGCTATACTGTTGCTATGGTGACCCAGATGTTACTTGGTGGTTACTATGGGGACGCAGGTAGTTGCTAAAGTGATGCGAGGTAGTTCCAATGGTATTCTAGATGGATGCTAAGGTGTTGGTAGGCTATTGCTATGGTATCGCAGGTGGTTGCTAAGGTGTTGGTAGGCTATCACTATGGTATCCTAAGGCTAAGGTATTGCTAGGCCATTGCTATGCTATCCCAGGTGGTCGTTTAGGTATCCCAGGTGGTTGCTAAGGTGTTGCTAGGCCATTGCTGTGCTATCCCAGGTGGTTGCTAGGGTGTTGCTTGGCTATTGCTATGCTTTCCCAGGAGGCTGCTAGGGTGTTGGTAGGCTATCGCTATGGTATCCCAGGCGGTTGCTAAGGTATTGCTAGGCCATTGCTGTGCTTTCCCAGGTGATTGTTAAGGTATCACAGGTGGTTGCAAATGTGTTGCTAGGCTTTTTCTATGGTATCCCAGGTGGTTGCTAAGGTATTGCTAAGCCATTGCTATGGTATCCCAGGTGGTTGCTTAGTTGTTGCTAGCATACTTTTATGATTGTGACATAAGAGAAGTGCCCAAAAAACATTTGTGTATAGAGTGTATATTGACTGTGGTGGAATGAAAGATAGAGGTATGGGCATTATATAATATATATGGAATGCTGCGCATTCCCCCCAATTCATTCCTATAGAAAAAAAATGTATTTGAATGAGTGCTGTACAAACACCTGCATCACTAATTGTTGTTGTGAAGCTGCAGAGCTTATTAAATTCATCTTTCAGAATGATTCGATATTATACCCCTATATTTCAGGCCAAAATGTGCAGAACAATCTCAGCTCTCTCTAAAGAGAAACCACTGCAGCAACTTCAGCAGCTGTAAACTCTCTGCAAACCATTTCTCATGTGTCTCCAATGTGGACTGAATGAAGAATGAAGGGTTTCCGGCGTGATGGTCAGTCTTTAGTGATCTCCTGAGTGTCCATTGGTCAGATTCAGACAGAATGTAGACGGACTCACGAATCCACCAGTTCCACACTGTGAGAGGCAGATGATGTGTATCTCAGCCCCTCTTCATAGGCTCATAACTCCGGATGTGAGTCTCGTATGATCTCGTGATAAGATGGAATGGAAAGGGCGACTCTACAGATACAGGAAGTGTTTGAACTGGATTTCTGAGCTGGATCATGACACCTGGCTGAGCTCGTGAACCCCAGAGGGTTAAATAGCTGAGTGTTACTTACTCACACCTGTTCTCTCTCACCTGTATGTCCCACACCTTCACCCTTCCGGCCATGTCTGCTGTGGCCAGGTAGCGTCCACTGCTGTCCACTGTCAGAATGATGGACCCCGAATCTTTGTGGGCCACAAACTCACCCACAAGACGACTGCTTACGGTGTTCCAGAAACGGACAACACCTGAACCCCCACAGGATACGAGATCGGCCCCACCTAGCATCAAAACCATGTAAAATCATTAAAGGGCCCATATCACTGAAAACCCTACATTTTTAAAAATAAAGCAGCCTAAAGAAGTATGTAAACATGATCTAAGTTTCAAAAACTACCCACTGTCCAGTCCATGTATGGAAAATAAGATGTTTTGAATTAATTCGCATATATATACACTTTTCCAGTCTATAGCAGTTTAGCCCCGCCCACTCACACTGAAGTTATAAGGAGTGTTTCAGCTCTGAGTGCTTTTTGAATGAGACACAATATAGGACAGTCAGAACAGAGCTCATTTACATATGTCAGGTAAATTCTAAGGGACAAAGAGAGTCATGCAAAAATGAATTACACAAAACCGCACAAATGTTATAAACTGACCCCCAGGAAAAATATAAAATACACGAAAAATGTAGAATAAGTGTCCTTTAAAATCATATACACACTTAACACTAAAGGGTTGTTTGACCTAATCCACAGAAAAACACTGTCAGGTCCCTAAAGAACCATGTATGAAAAAGAAATGCAAGTGAATAACCTCTTAAAGGTTTAGGGAACCTTTACACAAAGTAAAGGGTCCTTCCTAGAACCTTTACATTACATATAGGATCTTCAAAAGGTTCTTCACATGTGCACATCTCATTTACATCCCTTGAAAAGTTCTTCAGAGAACGAAAAGTGGTTCTTCTCAGGTTACTTTACCTGATGCAGCTGCTCCCTTTCGGCCTTCCAAAAAAGCCAGTCTGGTGATGCCATAACTCTCTGAGTCCTCCTCGTCACAGAGGGCGCTACAGAGCAGCTTGGAAGCAGAGTTTGTGGACGGTCGTCTAGCATGTGAAATGCTAGTTTTATGCAAGGTGTTATCTGCAGTGAAAAACAAAGCGCTGTCCTTTAATGTAGCCAGTCTATACTAATGTATACAATGTATACTGGCCACTTTATTAGAAACACCTACCTTGTACTTCCACTTACTGGCCACTTTATTAGAAACACCTACCTTGTACTTCCACTCACTGGCCACTTTATTAGAAACACCTACCTTGTGCTTCCATTCACTGGCCACTATATTAGAAACAGCTACCTTGTGTTTCCACTCACTGGCCACTTTTTGAGTTACACAGGGAGTGCAGAGGTCGATGCAGATGGTGGGAACTTGACAAATTTAACTACACAGATCAGCCATAACATTTCTACACTCACTGTCCATTTTATCAGCTCCACTGACCACATAGGAGCACTTTGTAGTTCTACAATTACAGACTGTAGTCCATCTGTTTCTCTGATACTTTACTACCCTGTTCTTCAGTGGTCAGGACCCCCATGGACCCTCACAGAGCAGGTACTATTTGGGTGGTGGGTCATTCTCAGCACTGCAGTAACACTGACGTGGTGGTGGTGTGTTAGTGTGTGTTGTGCTGGTACGAGTGGATCAGACACAGCAGTGCTGCTGGAGTTTTTAAACACTGTGTCCACTCACTGTCCACTCTATTAGACACTCCTACCTTGTCAGTCCACCTTGTAGATGTAAAGTCAGAGACGATAGCTCATCTGCTGCTGCACAGTTTGTGTTGGTCATCCTCTAGTCCTTCATCAGTGGTCACAGGACGCTGCCCACAGGATGCTGTTGGCTGGATATTTTTGGTTGGTGGACTATTCTCAGTCCAGCAGCGACACTGAGGTGTTTAAAAACTCCAGCAGCACTGCTGTGTCTGATCCACTCAGACCAGCGCAACACACACTAACACACCACCACCACATCAGTGTTACTGCAGTGCTGAGAATGATCCACCACCCAAATAGTACCTGCTCTGTGAGGGTCCATGGGGGTCCTGACCACTGAAGAACAGGGTAAAAGGGGGCTAACAAAGTATCAGAGAAACAGATGGACTACAGTCTGTAACTGTAGAACTACAAAGTGCACCTATATAGTAAGTGGAGCTGATCAAATGCACAATCAGTGTAGATACAAGGAGGTGGTTTTCATGTTACGGCTGACTGATGTAAATGTTGAATCCCTGCTGAAGTTTGAAGGCACATTAAAGGCCTAACCTGACTTGGATGTCAGGTCCTGGGGTCGAGTGTCCGAGTTGAGCTTGCGAAGGGCATTTTCAGTGCTGTTGTTCCACACAATAATTTCACCATCACTGCTGCCTGCAAAACACACCAGAAAACAAAATTCACCAATGAAATTAGAAAAAAAAATAACAAAACGAGATCTTTCGAGAACTTTCTCCTGTGTTCTTTTTATTGTTTATGAACATAGTAAGGTATTTTCATCGGCTTCTCTCTGGAAAATATGGTGCAGTTGTTTTGATTAGGTAATGTTGGCTAACACCGTTTAGGCGTCACTTCCGTTCTCAATGCACAATCAATCCAGACATATTTGCCTTTTAATTTGTTATTCTATAATGTCATTTTTTTAAGAACACAATCTAACAAAGCTGAAAATCCAATGATTTACCTTTGTGAACAATAAGCACATGAATAAGAATATATGTCATAATTTATATACCTGATCTGTATCCCTTGTCAAATACATTTACTGGCACTACCAGTAATGCTGGGTTAGCATGCTATCCTGCTATGGACTGTTTATCAGTAAAAGCACATAGCTTTAGGGCATTTTCACATTTGTCCCAAATAGTCTGCACCCAGGACCGATTCTGAGCTTGGGGGAGGGACTCATTATCACTGGGTTGCTTTCAAAAACAAAAATTGCATATGAATGTTGGATAAAACACTCCAGCAGCAAGGAACTGTTATGGGACGGCAGGGAGGCGGACCCAAGTGCAAAGAGGAAAACCAGTGAGGAAGGGTGTTAAATAAATTTATTGAGGCAATGGAGTGTGAATTTGGCATGCTGGGGTTGAGGTGACCCAGAGCCAGGCTCGAATAGCCAATGCATTGATCGGCAGTCCATGGAGTTACCGCTGTGCCACCAGGAAGGTGCAGATGATAATGGGAAAAACACCTCAAGGAACGGGAAATAAAAAGGTGGGGAAAAGGGCAAACAAAGGGGACGCTGAAAACAGCTCAAACAAAGGCTGAATTAGAAACATGAAATAAAAGATACTCAGAAAACAAAAATTACTTCCTCTGTAATTATGAGGGGAAGGCAGACTTTATGTTCCACTTGTTTGCTCTTTGTGGAGCAAACACCTTTTGTATGGCTTGGAGCCGTTTGTAGCTCAAGCCTTCTTGTGGTTTTGAAGTAGTTTTGGGGAAATTTCTCTCTTTTGTTTTTTCCAGCACTCTTTCCCTCTATTTTCTTTTCTTTTCTTTTTGTTTAAATACCCACCTGGGCTAAGTACCGTACCGGTCACCCCTCTACAAAGGTGTGACAAAGAGCTGCTGTTTGCCACAGCCTTGAGTCCAAAGGTGTGTCAGCTTGGGCCTAATCAGCCCGAGGGCTTCTGGGAATTGGAGTTCCCTGAAGTTATGGCAGCGCAGGCTGGGTCCTTACAAGAACAGTGCTTTTTTTCCTCTGCTGTCCGCAACAATCCTTTCCCCACCATCATGAAACTTGAAAAAAAGGGAACTCTTTAAGTCAATATAAGTCAGACAGTCCTTTTACAAAATGAGCCAGTAACGCAGCCCCACATTTGGCACTGGGAATGGATAGCTTCCACACGTGCCGCAGGCCACACCAGAGGTCGGTGGAAGTGAACCCCTAAACCACCGTTTTCAGGAGGACCAGAAATCGGTTCTCTTGACCGTTCTTGAGCTCAAAAACAGCTATTATCTCTACTATGCTCCTCCATCCATAGATTTTATCCTTTGCAAATGAACCTACAGCACATTCCATATTCATAACTACTGAATAAACTGACTTCCCCATGACCAGAACGTACCTATGGCTAAATGTATCCTAATGTTAACATTCCTTAACAGGCTCCTAGTACACTGAGCTTCTTTACTCAGTCCTTCTATGAAGACTTGAATACCCAAAGGTTAAGTCTTTGTGGCGGCTTAGACTGCCTCTGTGGATAGCTTGCGCTTCCTGAGTTGGGTCAGGATGATCATGATTGTCAGATCCCATCTGAACTCCACAGTTAGGTGAACAGTCCAGAAAGTCACTGTTGTTCCCTTTACTCAGCTGTTCTGAAGACCCAACATGTGATCTACATGTCCTCTAACTTGCCATTGGCAAACTTGCACAAGGAATGTCGAAGGTCCTCTTTACTGCAGGATAGTTGTTGGCATCACACACCAACATCTCTCCCAGACCAAACATCCGAAGTGGTCGTGATTGCTAGCCATGAGCTTTCTGTTGTTGTAGTTGGTGCTTGGAAACGACCTCTGACACATCTGGCTTTGGCAATGACAAGAGTGTGTGAGGTTGATGTTTCAAGAGCGATTCTGCTGGCGTGCATTCTGTGACTGTGTGTGGAGTGTTCATGTATATGAACAGGAAATGTGTGAGTCATTGATTGAAAGGCAGTGACTAAGCCTTCAGTCACGTCTGTATCTTCTTTAGAGTTTGCACAGCTCGTTCTGCTGCACTGTTTGATGCTGGATGGAATGGTGGCATCAGTATGTGATGTCATTTTTCTTGAGAAACTGTTCAAGCTGTTCAAACCCAGGTGCAGTAAACTGGGGGCCACTGTCTGACACAAGTACCTTTGGCAGGCCATATGATGCAGAGAGGGTCCTGAGAAGACTGGCTGTCTTTTCAGCAGTTGTGTGTTGGGCCGGAAGAATTTCAATCCATTTTGAATAGACGTCAATCACCAACGATTAGTCCCATCAACTCCACTTTCCAAGCCGAAAGCAACGTCACAGGCTTTTTCAAAAGACGGATCCTTCTCTGACAGTAGTTGTTTATGATAAGCCTCACCTGAAAGACCACAAACCATCTGGTCCCTCAGAGCGTCATTAAGAAAATGGCCAAACTCACATTTGCCTGCCAGTCTTTTCAATGCAAGAATGTAATCAGCTACTGTTTCGCCTTCATTTTGATGTCCTCTGTAGAACCTGAAGCGCTCTGCGATCAAAAATCGTTTGGGCTTGAAATGCAGTGACAGGGTTTCAGTGCTTTCTTTATATGTCAACTTGACTACTTTCTTTTAGCTGACTTAGGCTTTTAAGAAGCCCAAATTCCATGGGACCCAACACACTCGAAAAACATCAGCTTTCTTCCCTTCTGCAATTTCTTGTGCAGCTAGCCATCTTTCAAAATGTTCTAAGTAGGAATCAAATTCCTCTTTCTTGCTGTCATATTCTAGAACATGCCCTATCATTGTCATTTTTCCTTCAGAGGCTTCCTTGTGTGAACTTTCTGTTTCTTTCTGTTTCTTTTTTCTTCTTTTTGTTTCTGTTTCTGATCCTGTTTTATTTCCCTTTTTTTCTTCAGCACATTTATATTACTGGCACGTTTTTCTTGTATCTGTGTCGTTTTTCCTCTGCCTTAAGCCCATTTCACAACAGAGGCAGTAACATGCTCCTATATTAATCAGTGTAGCCTTTCGCACCAGCCGCGCATGTCACACCGCACCACGGCAGTAACACTTGCGCAAAACGCAAAAATACGCCGTGGGTCTATTTTTGACGCATGTCGTGCGCAGCATGCTAACAGTCTCTAGGCAGAAACAGTAAAGAAATGCAGTGAATGCAGAAATGCAAATGACAAAGTGATAGAAATCCCTTGTATGGGCTTTTATTGTTGATCTCTTTATATCATCTACGTAAAGTTTATTTAAGCAATAAACAGACAACATAGACATTCGTATTATGTTAGAGGCTACGTTCACATTACAAGCCTCATTGCTCAAATCTGATCTCTCTGATTCGATGGTTCACACTCGTTTAGGTAAGTGATTCAAATCTGTCATTAATGTGACGAACCGGCGTCCTGAAATGACCCTCATGAGCTCATCCTACTCAGTAACGTCACGGGAATGAATCACGTTCATCATCAGCACAAACTAACGAGCAGAACGAGCTTCGCTGAGAAGATAATTAACTCTGATCAGCTCTCAGCTTCATTATTAGAGCGAGACGAAGGAGAAAAAGGTGAGATGAGCTGCTTTTCCACCGTTTACAGGCTTTAACTTCTGTTTGGCGCTGCTGCCATGGTAACGCTGAATGATGGCGCAGTGGAAATAAAGCACATGAATTCAGATCCGAGCTTCACATTAAGGTCGCATGACCACGAATCGGATATGTATCCAATCTAGGACCACATATGAAAGTGGCTCAGGTCGAATTTGAAAAGATCAGATTTGCCTGTCCACACAGCCCTGAAAACATCAGATCTGAACCACATTAGGGCAAAAAATCTGATTCATACGTAGTCATAATGCAACACAAACAGCCTTGCGATGCACCCAGGGTGAAATAACAAGCGTCGTGGGATGGTTCCGGATTACCAAACACACGATGTCACATCTGGTGTGAAATGTTTATTATGCTATGACAATGTCCTGCTGTTCGTGACATTCACCACCTGAGGGCGCGCTTCTGATATGCAGGAGCCATGAACAGACTGACTATAGAGTAAATACGCTGTGCTTAGCAAGTTGCTAGCAATCTCCTGTTCACTAATCCAAAATGCAAAACGTCTGTTACACTTGAAAACCAACAACAGCAAAGCCGATTCCGTACTACATTCAATATAATGGCAAAAATAGACTAAAGATAAGTAGAAAGTAGTACCTATACTAAGTACTAAGTATTTGTAACTAAGAGCACTGTTAGCTTGATGCTTACGTAACTTGGAAAAGCGCTAGGTGGAATTGGCATCATCACAGGTGGATAAACTGCTACTTACATCATAATTTCTGCATTACACACTGGTTTATAATGTTACAGATGGCTGTTCATGATTTGCTAATAAACAGAAGAGCTGATGTATGTTTTCCTCACTAATCTGGTAATGCAATGCTTAAGCAATAGAACACAAGAGGGAGGGTGTTATTGCGAAATAACATCACGGCTGTGATTTGGTCGCAGACCTCGAGTGTTCTATTGCTTTAATACAACAGTTAAATAAATAAAGTAATAAATTAATAAACTGGGCCGTGAACGCGGCGTTTAATATGTTTTAATGTTCGCAGTTCCTTCACCAAATTATAGTTCCTTAACGAGCAGCTCGTTGCTAAGTCAGAGTAATGAACTCCGCCCACTCGCTGCTCAGTCTGCTGTAAGCCTCA